AATCCATTATATGCAGCAAAATGGGCAGATCTACAATGCAGACAAATCCAGTTACAATTGGCATATTGTTTTGTTTTGTTTTTTGAAACAGGGTCTCACTATGTAGCCCTGGGTGGTCTGGAACTCACTATGTAGATCAGGCTGGCCTTGAATTCACAGAGATCTGCCTGTCTCTGCCTCCTGAGTACTGGGATTAAAGGTACAGTAAGTGACAGAATGTAGACAAAACAAATTCAGCACCATCACAGAGAATCTGAGCACTAACATCACAGGTTTGCTCAGCTGTGGATGGAAGGAGCCCTCTACACCAGCTCTTAATGTAGATGAAGAATATGGCAGGTACAAAGCAAATCTAAACAGTGCTCAACAAAAGAACTTTATACAAGTCTCATTCCCAACTACCAGGGAAACAAACTAGAAACCAAGAACCGTAGAACCGCGATGTCTGCGAGGATAAAAATTAGGAAAAATGCTTTTAAATGGCCACACTGGTCAACGAAGACGTAAAAATATACACTAAAAAATACTTTGAAACGCATGTCAATGAAAAGGCTACAGAATATAGGTGGGGATATGTGTCAGTGGTGGAACACTCGTCTACCAAGGTCAAGGCCCTGGGTTCCATCCCCAGCACTACAGCGACAGAGACAGAAAAGTAGACATATATACACACAGAGACAGATGCACACAGAGACAGACATGGATACACAAGCACAGACAGACAGACAGACAGATTTCAGAAGAAAATCTGAAAATAGGGTCAGTGAAATGGCTCAGAGGGTAAAAGTACTTACTACATAAGCCTGAAGATCTGAGTTCAATCCCTAGATCCCATGTTTTTAAAAAGTCACAAATGGATTGGGCCTGAGAGTACACACCTTTAGGGGGAGGAGGGCAGAGGCAGACATATCTCTGTGAGCTCAAGGCCAGTCTGATCCATATAGTGAATTCCAAGGCCAGCTGGGGCTACAAGAAGACCCTATGTCAAAGAAACACACACACACACACACACACACACACACACACATAAAACAAAAAACCACAAAACCTGGGCCTGGTGGTGCACACAACTTTAATATCAGCACTCAAGAGGCAAAGGCAGGCAGATTTCTATGACTTCGAGGCCAACCTACTCTCCGTAGTGAGTTCCAGACCAGCTAGGGCTACATAGTATGATCCTGCCTTAAACCCCCACCCCTAAAAAAAGTCACAAAAGCCAGATGCAGTGGTGTGCAGCTGTAATCCCAGCACTACTGTGAGCAGACAGGAGGCAGAGACAGCAGAATTTCCTGGAAGCTTGCTGACCAACTACGTGGAATGCAAAACACAACAGAAATAACAGGGCATCCTGCCCCAGCAGGTAGAAGGACAGAATTGGCTCCTGAAAGTTGTCATCTGACCTCTGCATGCATGCTGTCACACACACACACACACGTACACAATTTTTTTTTTTGAGACAGGGTCTCCCTGTAGCCCCAGCTGTCCTGGAACTCACTATGTAGACCAGGCTGGCCTTGAACTCACAGAGATCTGCCTGCCTCTGCCTCCCAAGTGCTGTGACTATAGGCGTGCACCACCACACCCAGCTGATTACACACAAAATTTTAAAAAAAGAAAATCTGAAAATTAGCTAGTACAGTTATATGAAAGTGTGAAAATGCACACCAGAGCTGTCAGGATTTGGGGTCCGGCCCCGGAGGACAAAATGGTCCTTATCACGATTACCTGGCTTACATTCTCTGAGTATGTCCAGACCGTGACACACTTGTACTGTGTGCTTCACAGTTTGAGCACATGTGCCTCAGAACAGCGTCCAGGGAGCGGGGATGGTTTCCTGACTGCATTGGCTCTCTGGGTATTCCTGCACTGTCCATGTCCTCTGGACTGCAGGAACGGACACTCCTTAAACACAGGAATGAATGTGACCTGAGATGGTTAATACGGTCAACCTGAGAAGATCTAGAATCACCAAGGAGACAATCCTGTGTGAGAGTTTCTAGATTGGGTCAATGAGGTGGGAGGACCCTAAATGTGGGCAGCACCAATTTCCTGGGCTGGGGTCCCAGACTGAATAAAAAGGAGAAAATGAGCTGAGCACAAATGCTCATCTCCCCTTTCCTGACTGCAGCTACAATGTGACCAGCTGCCTCCCACCATCAAACTTCCCTACCATGATGGACTGGATCCTGAAATTGTGAGCCAAAATAAACCCTTCTTTTTAAAATTTTTTATTTACTTTATTTTTATGTGTATGAGTATTTTGTATGCATGTATGTAAGTGTACCCATGTGTGCAGTACCTGTGGAGACCAGAAGAGGGTGTCAGATCCCTTCAAACTACAGTTACTGATGGTTGTTAGCTGCTAGGTGGGTGCTGAAAACTGAACCCAGGTCCTCCAGAAGACCAGCCAGTGCTTTTAACCTCCGAGCCATCTCACCAGCCCCCAAACCTTTCCTTCTTTAAAATGCTTTTGTCACTGCAACAAGAAGAGTAACCAGAGGGATCCGACCCTCACGTTCCCTTGGTATTCGATGCAGAGCTAGCCCCTCCCATTTACAGAATGCCAATCCCTTCTCACCTCCCTGGACCCAGCAGGGCTCAAGAAGACGTGCTTGCAGCCCAGCTGGAGGGAATCAAGCCCTAACTCTTCCACAAAGCCTACCGGAGCCACAATTTCTGAGTTTCTCCCCTAAGAGGCAGAGTTCTCTGCACACACATGTTGTCATCTCCCACCCCTGTAAAGAGGATGGGGGCATGGAGGAGCAAACCCAGAAAGTTCTTTAGATAATTGAAGGCCAGCTCCTGGCCACAAAACTTGCAGCTTTCTATTAGAATGATGAGACAGGCAAGAGATGCATGCCAGTCCACAGATGTGTGGTAGAAGCACAGTGGTCAGTCTCTCCTGCTTCGAAGTCTATACAACCCAAATCAAAAGTGACACTGGCACCATATTTAGATGGTAGACCCACGGAGGAGATCATCTGGCCAGACCAACACCCAATCCAAATTCCAAAATAAATTTTCATTTTTAAACAGTACCCCCTTTCTATGAGTCCCAAGAAACATTTACCTTGATGGCTTTTTCTGTTAATTATCTTGCTATTTTGTATCTGTCTAATTTGGGAGAAGAAGACATATCTTGGGCAATTCCTTGTTCTAGTTCTGCAAAAGAAAAACAGACATCAAGGTGAAGGAAAGGGAGTGTAGCTTGGAGCAGTCCCTCCAACCAGACACCAGACACAGACCATGGACGTGAATCCCCACCTCCACCTGCCCAGAGCCCACCTACCTCTGCCCACCACTGCGCCTACCTGTCCTCCAGCACTAAGGCTCCCCAGCCTCTGCCCACCCCATTCCCCTGCAATTTTCAGTCCTCTCTGCCCTTGTTACCCCGCACCAGTCTTTGATCCCCTGCCTCATCTGTTCTGCTCCTCCCTCTCCAACCTAGGCCACTCTGGCATTGGGTCTTTTTGATATTCTCTGGATCCCTCCAATGTGTGGTGAGGGGACGTGAGGCCCCTCCTCAGTTCCACCTACATGGGTTTTATTCAGTGGCCATCCTCCCTCCTGCCCAGAGTACGGATACCCCCACCTCTAAATGCCCTTCCCTATATCAGCCCCTCTCTTGGCAACCCTGTGACTCTGGCCATCCCATAGGGTCACCCCAAACACTGAAATGTCCTGGGCCTCCATACTGCGTTCACAGCCTCTGTATTCATCGGCTGCTCACATCTGCTGGATTCCCACAGATATGGCCAAACTGGGTTCATAGAAGCTCAGGCCATGCCCATAGTCTACCCTGAATCTTCCCTCTAGCTATCACAGGCCCTGGCTGACTAGCTTTCCCCCTCATAAACCCTCTGTGGTGGTTTGAATGAAAATGTCCACCATAGGCTCCAAGTATTTGGACATTTTGTCCCCAGATGATGACGCTGTTTTGGGAGGTCTTAGAAGGTGTGGCTATCCTGGAAGAAGCACGTCATTGGGCGTGGGCTTAGAGAGTTCTTAAGCCTTGCCAGATCTCCAGTCGCTCTCTTGCTTCCTGTGCCTGCTTGAAGATGTGAGAGTTTAGCTTCCCGCTCCTCCTCTACCCACCTCTGTAGCCATGTCTCTCCACCATGATGGACTGTTGCCCTTTTGGAACCCTAAGCTAAATAAACTCTTCCTTTTATAAGTTCCCTTAGTTATGATGTTTCTGTCACAGCAACAGAAAAGTCACTAATACACAACCCTTTCTTGTTCTTGACCCAGAATAATATACGTGTGTGTAGGGCTTCGGGGGTTATCAAGCCTTGCAAGGAGCTAATACTCTTTGAATGCAGCAAACTATCCCATTTGTGTTACAAACAGAAAGAGCTATGACTGACTCCTCTCTGGTAAGGTTTCATTCCTTTTCTTTCTTTCTTTCTTTTTTTTTTTTTGAGATAGGGTCTCCCTGTAGCCCTGCATCTGCGTCCCAAGTGCTGGGACTAAAGGTGTGCATGCATCACCACACCCGGCTCTTCACTTCTTTTCCACTTCACACTGGATGTAGTTTCAATAGAAATCACAGTTCCTAGAGAAATCTGAAGGGGCAAATTGGGTCCCATTCCTGATTTTAATGGAGCTAAGAGTCAGGCTGTGTCTGTTCAAACATCATCGCAATGTGACACTGCACCTCTGCATAAATGTACCAGGTCTCTGCCCTTGTTACCCCGCACCAGTCTTTGATCCCCTGCCTCATCTGTTCTGCTCCTCCCTCTCCAACCTAGGCCACTCTGGCATTGGGTCTTTTTGATATTCTCTGGATCCCTCCAATGTGTGGTGAGGGGACGTGAGGCCCCTCCTCAGTTCCACCTACATGGGTTTTATTCAGTGGCCATCCTCCCTCCTGCCCAGAGTACGGATACCCCCACCTCTAAATGCCCTTCCCTATATCAGCCCCTCTCTTGGCAACCCTGTGACTCTGGCCATCCCATAAGGTCACCCCAAACACTGAAATGTCCTGGGCCTCCATACTGCGTTCACAGCCTCTGTATTCATCGGCTGCTCACATCTGCTGGATTCCCACAGATATGGCCAAACTGGGTTCATAGAAGCTCAGGCCATGCCCATAGTCTACCCTGAATCTTCCCTCTAGCTATCACAGGCCCTGGCTGACTAGCTTTCCCCCTCATAAACCCTCTGTGGTGGTTTGAATGAAAATGTCCACCATAGGCTCCAAGTATTTGGACATTTTGTCCCCAGATGATGACGCTGTTTTGGGAGGTCTTAGAAGGTGTGGCTATCCTGGAAGAAGCACGTCATTGGGCGTGGGCTTAGAGAGTTCTTAAGCCTTGCCAGATCTCCAGTCGCTCTCTTGCTTCCTGTGCCTGCTTGGTGATGTGAGAGCTCAGCTTCTGCTGCTCCTGCTCCAGCCACCTCCAGCCACCATGCCTCCCTGCCATGATGGACTGTAATTCCCCTGGAACCGTAAGCTCAAATAAACTCTTCTTTCTATAAGTTGCTTGGGTCAGTGCTTCTATCACAGCAACAGAAAAGTGACTAATCCACCCTCCTACTGTCCCTTCAGTCTCCAGGCCCTAAATGTGGATTTCCTCAGAGCTGCTGCCTCCCTGCCTGTGTGCACGTCTTAGACAGCTTGTCAAGTCTAGTGGATCCTGGAAACATACCAATTCCATCCAAACCAACCCAAACTCCAAAGTTCCCAGACCCACAGTACCTTAGACATTCATTCAAGGAGCTTGAAGAGGCACTAGTCCAACCTATTTGCTTTTCCTGTGGCTTTCTTCTCCCCAAATTCACAGGCACCAGACCAACTGATTTAAACTAAAACATAAAACAGTGGTGTGTGTGTGTGTGTGTGTGTGTGTGTGTGTGTGTGAACTGTATGTCCATGTGGAAAGGGTAAACCCTAAACACTACCTAACAACATGCTCAGAATTTATTCTGACGTGTGTGAAAGCCACACAAAGCTTTAACAGAAAACAGTAGGAAAACACCAAACCTCACTTGGGCAAAATTTCTCAGATGGCACACACACATACACACACACACACACACACACACACACACACACACAAACAAAAAAACCCAGAGTCAGAATTAGTAAATTGGGAACTGTCAGAATTAAAACATTCTGAGGCTGGGAGATAGCTCAGCTGGTAAGGTGCTTCCCTTGCAAGCTTAAGGACTCAAGTTCCATTCCTAGCACCCACATAAAAAAGTCAGTCACTTGTAATCCCAGTGCTGGGGAGTGGAGACAAGAAGATCCCCAGGGCTTTCTGGCCAGCCAGTTTAGCCTACCAGTGAGCCCCAGATCCCTGGGAGAGATCCAGTCTGAAAAAAACAAAACAAAACAAAACAATGTTGGCCGGGTCTGGTGGAACGTGCCTTAATCCCAGCACTCAGGAAGCAGAGGGAGATGGATCACTATGAGATCAAGGCCAGTCTGGCCTACATAGCAAGTTCCAGGCCAGCTGGGGCTACAGGGAGATCCTGTCTCAAAACAAAACAAAAGAGTGGAAGCCAGGCAATGACAGACCTTGGACGGAGTGTGACCATGGTGGTGCCCCAAGAAAACAGTCCATAAGGCTGAGATCACTGGGAGAAGCTTGGGTGGTGCCACAGGCTCCCCAGGCTCCTTTTCCACCCACAGAATACTTGCACCTCACACCTCCTTCTGGTCACACCCTCCCAGGGAGCTGTCACAGCCACTGAAGGGGCCAGCTCAAGACAACACTCTGGGGTCTCTGTAGAGCTGGTATTGGGGTTCCCCTCTTCCTCCACCGCCCAGGACTGTGTTCTTCGTAACTGCACAGGCAGTAACTCCAAGGTCTTCCTGTCAACCTCCTGCACCAATCCCATCTCGGAGTTTGGCTCTAGGACACCCCACCTGCAAGAGGGAGGCACCCTTGAGAACAGTTATTGTTGTACACTCACTGATCCTGGCCACCCAGTCACTCATCTAAGGCTGAGTGAAGCAATGCCCAGCAATTGTGACCCAGTGCCTAGAAGGCAGCAATGACAGTTGGACAGCCAGATGCTGGGCAGAATTGTACATTCAGCACAACCCAAGGTATCCAGCAAAGTTCAGTCGAGGCAACATTTATCCTCTCCAGATCCAGGGCACCTACAAGGGGCAGAGGAACTGGTGAAATACCACCAGAAAGCAACATGGGATAAAGTTCAAAGTGAGGCTCCCACCAGAGCAGCGGCATCCTGGGTAGAAAGTTCATGCCTTGAAAACTCAGGTCAGAGGATGGCTGTCTCACTGCGAAAAAATTCACAGACAGAAGAACAAACAAATATAGTGTGTGGTTGAGGGGATCCAGATAGAAGCAGACCAACCGTAAAGCCCTTTTGAGGGAAGCATAGCTTCCTCTAGGAAGATATAACTATAAGCTAGAGTTAACTTTTTATTAAAGAATTATGAATTTTGTGAGTGGAAAAACTATTATTTGATTACGTACAAATTTCATTTTAGATATAGTAATTGTGTAGGTAAGAATGAATAAATTATTATAGAAAACAATAAAAATCAATAGGATCATTAAAGAAAAGACATTTAAAATAGGCAAAGATAGGTGTTCACGGTCCCTCTGTCTGTTGTGATAGCTCCCTTCGCATCTCTGATTTACTCACTGTGCTCTCTTGGTTGTTCTGGCTAAAGGTCTGTCAATCTTGTCAACCTTTTCAAAGAACCAACTCTTCGTTTCATTGATTATTTTTGTATTTTTCATTAATATTAATTCAGTTTTATCTCCTCTCGGTTACTCTTTTTGGATCTTGATGGTTCTTGTTTTTCTAAGGCCTTCAGCTAAATCATTAACTTAATAGGAAACCTCTCTCTCACGTAGCCACCTAGTGCTGCAGCTTTTCCTCTTCAGACTGCCTTCATTGTGCCCCATAGACGCTGGTACGTCGTGTTTTCATTTTCATTCGGTTCTAGGCATTTCACAGTTTCCGCCTTGACTTCCCCCTGACCAGTTCTCATGCTGCAGTGTGTTGCTTGGTTTCCCTGAGTTTGTGTGCTTTCCCCCGTTTCTATTGCCGTCGATATCTAGCTTTATTCCTTTACGGTCAGAGAGAACACAGGATGTTACTTCAGTTTTCCTAAATTTGTTGAGACTTGCTTTGTGTCCTAATATGTGTTTGCTTTTGGAGAAAGTTCCATAGGCTACTGGGAGGAGCATGTGTTTAGTGTTTGGGTGGAATGTTCTATAAATGTCTGTTAGGGCCATTTAATTTATGATGCCGGTTAACTCCATGGTTTTTCTATCTCATCTTTATCTGGATGACCTGTCTATTGGTGAGAGTAGAGTACTGAAGTCATCCACTATCACTGTGTCAGAGTCAATCTGTGATTTTAGATCCAATAGTGTTTCTTTTATGAAATTGGGTACCTCCGTTTTTGATGCATAGATGTTTAGGATTGTAACGTCCTCTTGGTGAATTTTTCCTTTAGTGAGTGTGGTAGGTTGAATGAGAGTGTCCCCCAAAGGCTCCAAGTATTTGGACATTTTGTCCCCAGTCGGTGCTGTTTGTGGAGGCTGTGGGAGGTGTGGCCTTGCTGGAGGCAGCTCGGCCCTGGGGGCAGCCTTAGAGGGTTCTTAAGCCTTGCTGGATTTCCGGTCACTCTGCTTCCTGTGCCTGCCTGCTTCATGACGTGAACTCTCCTCTTCTGCTGTGGCCGCCTCTTGCCACCACGCCTCCCCGCCATGATGGAACCTCTGGGACTGTAAGCTCAAATAAACTCTTCCTTCTATAAGTTCCTTTTTCATGCTGTTTTATCACAGCAACAGAAAAGTAACTAATACAGTGAGTATCGAATGTCCTTCTCTATCTCTTCGGACTAGTTTTAGTTTGCAGTCAATTCTGTCAGGTTTTGGAATAGGTACATCTGCTTGTTTCTTATTCTTATTTGCTTGGAATCCTTTCCTTGTCCCTTTACCTTAAGGTGGTGTCAATCATGATCTAAATAGAGCGACACGTCGAGAGGAGATAAAAAGGACACAAGTCAGAAAGGAAGAAGCCTGATTTGCAGATGATGTGATTCTATACATAAAAGACCCTAAAGACTCCACCAGAAAACTCCTAGAGCTGAAAAGCACATTCTACAAGGTGGCAGGATATAGAATTAACACATAAAAGTCAGTGGCCTTCCTATAAACCAGCTACAACATACTGAGAAAGAAACCAGAGACAATCCCAATTGCAACAGCCTCAAAAAATACCTCGGAATAATTCAAACTCAAGATGTGAAAAACTTGTGTAGTAAAAGCTGCAAGACACCGAAGAGAGAAACTGAAGAAGATATGAGAAGATAGAAAGACCTCCCGTGCCCATGGGCAAGTAGATCAATATTGTGAAAATGGCCATCCTACTAAAAGCAATCTACAGATTCAAC